GCATATGTCAACGCAGACTGTAGGAAAACTTCACCACGCGGCTGCCTTAAGCCTGGACGAGAAAGCCATTGTGGCGGCCGACCGAACTGACTGCTGCCTAACTTGAAACCCTATCTTGACAGCAGACGCCGAGGAGCATAGCTAATCATGCTGCTTTCTGCTTTGACGACACTCCCTGACACACCTGCCGAGCATGAACCGTGTCGGCACTACCCCGACAAGTCGAAGATGGCAAGAGCAAAGTGGCTCGGGCGAACATCCGCAATCTGTGCTGGGTCAGGCAAGCAAGCTTGCAAGTGGTTGGGGACGAAGCCATGCGAACTGTGCATGGTCAGTGTCGCGCGGAGGTCTGCACCTTGTTTTGCTCTGCATGCAGCAGCTCTCCAGTTTGAGAGGCGAGACACATGATAAAGATGCGTCCCATGGGTGGCCATGCTTCAGCTAACTCCATCAAAAAGGCTAAACGTCAACGTCACATAGTAAGGGCAAACCCATGGCTCTGGAGTGCTTTGTACAGAAAAATGAGGTGATAAATCACTCGGTGATCACACCCCGGACATAGCTTCACTTCTAACGTTGGCGTGGCCCACGTCCACGACCGACTGGCAAGTCAACCTTCGAAATTCTGGAGACACAACTTACACACATGGAAGAGAAGAGTCTCGGCGCCAAGCAGGCTGCAGACCGGCTGCATCTGGCGTGGTGCTTCTCGCAGCCTGCGAGATGCGACATGATGTCATGCAAATCCTGTTACCACCGAATGCATTAAGCCTTATCGCGGTTGGAAAATGCTATGACTGAAGCATAAACATGGCCGCGGAGCTGGATTTTGACAAAGCAGCAACAAAAGTAAAACCGAGACAGTAAGAACCACAAGCCCTTTTGCTCCTGATGAAACGAATTAAGAGCTTTCTCGGGCTGCACGTTTTACTCGCGGTCTGCACGTGTCAGGTCCTGCCCTCACAATTCAACACCCCTGCCCAGCTCTCGAAGTCGAGGAGCTCGGAGACATGCCTAACCATCCTAGACTTAGACCAGCAAAACATTGGCATGAACAGGGCATGAGCATCAGTCACTGGTGAATATGTAGATCGTAGACCTTTTTCATCTCGCCTGAATATGCCTGAACTGTTGCAAAAACAGGAACAGTGGGTGTCGAAAGGCTGTAGCGGGCTCTTGGGCGAGCACCACCGCCCAAGGTCATGCGAGCGACGGTCACCATCCGTTGCTGCCAGTGTGTAGAAGATGATGAGTGTTCACCGAGACCCTTTTCATGTTCGGAACGTGCAAGAGTTAGATCGCCAATCTTGTCAAGATCGAGGTCATCCTTCGCTGCGTCAATAGGAAAATCTCCGCGATTTTTTCTCCTTCTCCGGGTTCTGGTGGAGGTTCCCTTCTTGATGGTTTGTCATCGTCATCATCCTCATCATCGTTTCCACCTGGTGGTCGAGCATCGTCGTCCTGGTCCTTGAGGTCCTTCCCCCAAGTTCGACGTTGTGCTTCAGCCCTTCAAACGTTTCGTTCATTCGCTCGTACTCGGACTTCAGAAGGAAACTCGATCTTCTCGGGACGTACCCCAACTTCTGTCACATATCGTTGGGCAAGTCGTCGAGGGACTGCCGTGTTCATCGAAAGGTTTACGTTGGCAAACTCCGCCACGTCCCAATCCTTGTACTTTTCTCGACCATTGCTGACCTGTCGTGATGACGTATCCTGCAAAGATGCCAGGAATGCCTTTCGGGTCGGACTTCCCTCCACAGGTGGTCTTTTCCCTCATGTCTGTAGGCTTGAAGAACACTTTCGCACCAAATGGTATAGCTTTTCTTTGACCGGTCATCCTCTTCCGCAGTGAATCACCATCCCCTTCCACATCCTTGACGTTGAGATTGTGTTACGCAGTTCAAGGCAAACGGCCAATACTGCGCAGGTGTTCCCGCATGTCGTAGTGATGTTGCCACGGTGTTGATCGCCTCTTGGTTGGTCCTTTCAGCGAGGGAAGTGTTCTGTGGCAGGCCAGGGAGCGAATGATCAATCGGGATCCGGAGTTCGGCCATTGCAGCATCAAATTCTGGTGCTACATCGCTGTAAGCAAGCTTAACCTCCTTCTCCCAATGAGTCGAGTCTTTTCCGGGCATTGACAACCGGATCTGTGTGACGTGATTCGGTTGGAATGGCTGCAATGGCACGTGTGGCCAAATCTTTGACAACCAAGACCTCCCTTGCTTCGTCATGGAGACCAACTCCCATGTCAGCGGCTGTGCGCATGTCCAAGAAGTCGAAGGTGATAAGATCCCCCATGACTTCGGTTTCCTGTTGAATGCACCACGCTCAGTTCGGTAATGCATCATCTTGGCACGAATGCATGCTTCGCTCTATGGATTGCGATAACGATGTGTGCACAAATGCCCAAGAGACTTGGCTTCATTTTTGAGAGCGGCGACTTTCGCTCTGCGAACTTTCGCTCCTTCACCTTCCACCTCTATCTCGTGGTCATCGCCAATTTCTGGTACTTCTCCATTCTCCGCTTCCTCTCTCAAATAAACCGGGAGGTCTTCCGGCTTCTTCCACGGGAACTTCCCGCTCGACGAATGTACGGAATGTCGCCGCTCACGAAAGAGAGTCCGCTCGCCATCCGGGTCGATCATGAATGAATCACGTCCAGGTGGCCATACGAATCCATACCTTTGCTTGATGCATCGCTTTCCAGTAGACAATTTTGATGGTGTATCTTCGAGAACATGCACGTTGATCGGTTCCTTGAAGGATTCTGTCTGAAAGTTCGACACCATATCCGTATTGATAACTCCATTTGCTGTCTGAAATGACACTGTTTCCTGACTGACAAGCGTTTCGAGATCGTGCTTCTCAACTTTCCGTGGAGAGATGAGGTCATGTCTGCAACCTGTGTCCATAAGGAACTTGATCTTCGGTCGTATCCATGTAGGCTGCACCATGCACATGAATGGTCCATGCGTCAATGCCTTCTTGCTCTCCTGTGCGTTGAGTGTTCTCTCCAAGATCACGTCCTCACCGTCGTGGGACGTGACTTCCTTGACGGCAAAATTGCCAAGCACTCGCCCGTGAATGTGCCGGTCTCCTTGTCCGTCGGAATTGACCATATCCACCAACAGGCGTGCTCTCGCTGTTGCCTTATGCCTTGCGAAGTCCAACTCACTTGCTCGATTCTCATCCTTGATGATAGCCTTCGTGGCGACATAAGCGACTTTCTCTCCTCTTTCGTTGTAGGGTCTCTTGGACTTAGAGGATTGAAATTGAACGTTACTGGCAAATGGCACATTGGGTGGACTAGCCGACAAAGTCGAGCTATCCGCCTCATCATCGGTACAGCAATCAGAATCCACGTCACCATCCAACGGGGAGCAATCTGGCTCATCATCCGATTTTTGAGCAGACTTCTTCCGAATAGCCGGTGCAGGTGGGTTCCATGATTCCATGCACGACACAATGAAGCTGGGGCTGCAGGCTGAGGCTTCCTCTCGGCGTTGATTCAGCATCAGCCTCCGGTTCAGCTTGCAAAAGCGTCGGTGAACGTCCCCCTCTACCCCGTGTGGCACCGGACAGCCTCGATCTTCTTGGAGAACTCCTGGAAGAACCTGGTTTCATCTGCTCTGGACTCCTGGGTTCTGAGTTCTGTGTCTCGCGATTTCAGTCACAATTGAAAACATTGCATCGCCGTCTTGGATGGTCGTCTTTCGGTAGTTCTGGCTCCTTGATTTGCCGAAGGTGGACGTGACGTTGTAGTCGTTCTTGGCGTTGATTTGCCTTTCGTAAAGGTTTAGACGGTGTAGGTGTAGATGGTGTGGACGAGGAAGCCTTTGCTTTCTCTTCTTCAGTAGTGCTATCTCGGAATGTCATTGTCGTATCTGCACTTGACCCAGACGTCATTCTGAGTGATGTCTTCCACCAACCAATGCAGAGCCTCCGCCGGATAACCGGCGTGAGGGTTTGCAGCTGATGTTGTCGCTCACCTCACCGAGCTTGATAATGTAGCTGTGGTTGCCTGTTGAATCTTGGCTTGTTGATGTTGAAGACGCAGGCTTCCCTCTCAGGCAGGCGCACTTCCTTCGCACGCTCTTTTTGTTCTGCGGTGCTCAGCAATGATCTGTGCCGAGGGGAATGGCTCGGATGCTATGGATCTTTACTTCAGCCTTGACATAAGACCTAGGCTTCGGCTTATGGCGGTCGTGAGCCTCGAGCTCAATCTTGAGCCGCAAAGTTGCATGTGAGGCGGAGCACTCAAAAAGACTTGGTATGACTTGCAAAGCAGCGTTGACCGTATGTTCCTGGTTTGTGTTCATGGTCTGCGCAGCAGTCCCAAGACACTGTACAGAGTTCATAATGCTAGTATTGCTACCACTACTCCTACTCCTACTGCT